TGAGGGCTGCTCTCTTCGCTAGATGTGCTTAGGGGTTTAAGTGAGTTAAGTAGACTCTGTGTCGGGTTGAGCTTGGCTCGATAAGTGGTTTGTGAATTGAGCTTGATTAGCTAAAAAGCCAAGCTCAAGCTATCCCTGACACGACTCGTTGACTTGTGAGCCGGCTTGTTTAAAAAAAACATAATAATATATAATACACTCAAAATATATTAAACTTAATAAATTTATCTTTAAATTATTAAAAATATTTAAAGTAATGATATTTTTTATTTATATTAAGTGATTTTTAATTATTTGTCTTCTAATTTCTCATTATATTTGTTATTTAATTATAAAATTACTTCAATTAATATTATTTCCTCTTTTTTATAGTAAACAAGCCAGCTCTTGTGCCGCCCCAAACACGAAGAATTAAGCTCAAGCTCGATAATTTTAATCAAGCCAAGCCTATGCTCAAGTTGAGGGTGGCTCAAGCTTAGCTCGACTCGTTTGCACCGTCTAGATGTGCTAGCAGTTTTAAGCAAATGTGCTAGCAAATTTTAAATGATTTGACGGTCTTAATGACCTCTAAATTAAGGGAGCTTAAGCTGGTTGGATTCCTCTCATCGAGACACTTGGTTCAAACATAAATATATCAAAATTGTAGTTCATTTGATCATCCAATAAACAATCTAAAAACTCCAAATATATTTTACGTCTTGATCTTGACTCAATTACACTCGAATTGAGTTAATTTTGGTATCGTCAGGTTTGTTTGATCTAAAAGGTCAATTTTATCATAAACTTGCTAGAAGTTGGGTATTAGAAGATATTGAATTTGAATTTTTGAATCTTTATTGCTCAAAAATTGCATCGAAAACTGTGCAAGATGAAAACAAATTCTTAATAATGCATCATCTGTAATATTTTTTATGATAACATTTATTGTAAGATTTTAAGAAAAAAATATTTACTGGATATGAAAATTACGGCTTTTTATGTATGATTTGGGAGGAATTTGTTAGAAATGTAATCGAGCTCCATTATTTTTAAAAATCATGTTTAAGTTCAGCTCTAATTTAATTCGTATAAAATTATGGAGCAAACTAACGGGTTGTTTATTTAAAAAATAATCTAAATTCACTGGGTGGCAATTTGTAATTTAAAAATATTTAAGGTTTATCAAATAAAATTAATTGAGCATATAGAGGGAAGTCGAGCATTTTATGTCCGGACATCTGACATACCTCTACGTGCGTTGCATGTTATCCTGAATTATTTTCAGATTATTTCTGAATTATTTTCAATAATCCCGAAATAATCATCGGTCTTTATTTTTTTATTATTTTTTGATTATTTTAGGATTATTTCATTATTATTGAAATAATCTAAAAATAAAGACCGTGAGTTATTTCAATATTATTGAAAATAATTTAAAAATAATCTAAAAATAATTCAAGAATACGCTGCGCCGACGAACAGCCCCTCTGACGTCCACACATAGGGTCTGTTTGGGGCAGCTGCAGCTTATCCAGCTTCTGCTGATAAGCAGCTTATCCTGATAATCTGCTGATGAGCAGCTGTTTTTAAGGTCCCCTCCTTCCTCCCCTCTCCCTCCTTCGGCCCCAACGCAACCATAGCCGGCGTTCTCAATACCCTAACCCTAACTCCCTTCTCCGACCACCGCCATGCCACTTCATTTTCCTGCTCCTGCATTTCCCTTCGTTGCCGGCCACCCTAGCCGCCTCCGCATCGCAACCACGGCATCTGCAAGATTCGCTTCACCGATTCCGGCGAATTTCTGCAGAGAAGTTCGAACACTTTGTATTGCACACAGATCTGCTCTTTACTCAATCGTAACCTCATTCTCTCATTACGATCCGGTTTCCTTCCTCTTGGATGGGGCTGTCTCCCTACTGCGCGTTTTCCGCTTTCTGCCTTCGAACTTTTGTGATCGGTGGAAGGTTCTTATCGATATTCCGGAGAAGGATGCGGAGGCTTGGCAGATAGCCATCTAATAATGGAAAAATTATTCCATACGGATGTATACGGTGTCCGATCTTCACCGTTCATCACAACAAATTTTTTTTTTAAAAAAATAATTCAAAATAAAGCTCACCGTCATACATCTTTGCTGTGATGGACGGTGGAGATCGGAACATACAGTGTCCGTATGGAATAATTTTTCCTAATAATGTGTTGGCTAGTATAATTACTTTCTGACATATATGGCGATGTGAGGAAAATTTTTTTCATACGGAATTCGCATGTCTGCGAACTCTAGGAATATGACGCTATATGTGTTACATTGGGCCCACCTAAAAAAAATATTAAAACAGAATCTTGGAGGTTATTGTAGCGCGGATATTATTGGGAGTTATTGGAGGGGGGGGGGGGGGGGGTTGTGTAACGGCGTGAAACAGACAAAAATATTAGGTATGAGTCATATACAGATAAGAGACAGATGCTAGAGCGGAACGAAGCGAGCCAGCGGAGCGGCGAGTTTGTCAAAAAATGCATTGCAAGACATGAAATCCATAGCTTGGATTTTATAAGATCAATACATCACAATATATAATCATCGATTGACATTGATAAAAAGATCATTCCTTATAAACGTAAATTACCATATAAACTTGATAGTAAATAAATGAGAAGTTATTTACAACACAAAATATAAATGTGAAGATGTTATACCTTTTTCAAGCATCTTCTCGCTCGCTCCGCTCCGTCACCTCCTCCCGTTCCGCTCCAGCATGTGTCCATTCGGGGAAGTTTTGTTAAGTAGGTTGGGGGTGCGGGAGCAATATCCTCGTGGTACAACATAGATGTAATTTTGTAATTACATATTGTACACCGTGGTTATATATGTGTCGTATTTGTAACCTCATTAAAGCTCTATATTTTCTTCTTGATTTCGATGATTCTTGCGTTTTCTTTTGCCCTAGATCCTCAACAACCCCCTAATAACTTCCACGGTTCCACTTCAATAATCTCTTGCAATAATCATCGCAACAACCCTCAATAATCTCCGTGGTTCCACTTAAATAACCCCGGTAATAACCCTCACAATAACCCCCCAGTAAATCCCCAATAACATACTTGGTTCCACTTTAATCACCCTCTGCAATAACTTCCGCAATAACCCACCTAATAACCTTCGCGGTTTCACTTCAATAACCCCACAATAATCTCCGCGATGTAGCACACGTGGTGACATATTACTGGAGTCCGCACACAGAGCTGTGTCCGGACTCCGTATGGAAAATTTCTTCGATGTGAGTATGTAGATGGATATTTAGTTTGCATTTGCAAAATCTAGCACCATCCTTGTCATGTATGTGCATGGGAAAAGACTGAAATTTTTCTTCATCATTCCACTCTAATAATGGGAAAATTATTCCATATGGATGCATACGGTGTCCGATCTCCACCGTCCATCACAACAATTTTTTTTTTTGGTGAATTCAAAATAAAGCTCACCGTCATACGGTGTCCATATGGAATAATTTTTCCTAATAATGTGTTGGCTGGTATAATTACTTTCTGACATATATGGCGATATGAGGAAAATTTTTTACATACGGAGTCCGCACGCCTGCGAACTCTAGGAATATGGCACTATATGTGTTACATTGGGCCCACCTAAAAAAATATTAAAACGGAATCTTGGAGGTTATTGTAGCGCGAATATTATTGGGAGTTATTGGGGTAATAACTCCAATAATGCCGCAATAACCCCTGTTAGGTATGAGTCATATACAGATAAGAGACAGATGCTAGAACGGAACGGAGTGAGCCAGCGGAGTGGCGAATTTGTCAAAAAATGCATTGCAAGGCATGAAATCCCTAGCTTGGATTTTATAAGATCAACACATCACAATATATAATCATCGATTGACATTGATAAAAAGATCATTCCTAATAAACGTAAATCACCACACAACCTTGATAGTAAATAAATGAGAAGTTATTTACAACACAAAATATAAATGTGAAGATGTTATACCTTTTTCAAGCATCTTCTCGCTCGCTCCGCTCCGTCACCTCCTCCCGTTCCGCTCCAGCATGTGTCCATTCGGGGAAGTTTTGTTAAGTAACTTGGGGGTGCGGGAGCAATATCCTCGTGGTACAACATAGAGGTAATTTTGTAATTACATATAGTACACCGTGGTTATATGTGTCGTATTTGTAACCTCTTTAAAGCTCTATATTTTCTTCTTGATTTCGATGATTCCTGCGTTTTCTTTTGCCCTAGATCCTCAACAACCCCCTAATAACTTCCACGGTTCCACTTCAATAATCTCTTGCAATAATCATCGCAACAACCCTCAATAATCTCCGTGGTTCCACTTAAATAACCCCGGTAATAACCCTCATAATAACCCCCCAGTAAATCCCCAATAACCTCCTTGGTTCCACTTTAATCACCCTCTGCAATAACTTCCGCAATAACCCACCTAATAACCTTCGCGGTTTCACTTTAATAACCCCACAATAATCTCCGCGATGTAGCACACGTGGTGGCATATTACTGGAGTTCGCACACAGAGCTGTGTCCGGACTCCGTATGGAAAATTTCTTCGATGTGAGTATGTAGATGGATATTTAGTTTGCATTTGCAAAATCTAGCACCATCCTTGTCATGTATGTGCATGGGAAAAGACTGAAATTTTTCTTCATCATTCCATTTTGGTGGTCTTTTTCTTACCTTACTTTTGTAAGCATCCGATTGTAATGATCAGCTTAATTTTTTTTTTCTAACCTTACTTTTCTAAGCATCCGATTGTAATGATCAGCTTAATTTTTTTTTCTAAACTTGAAACTAGCATAAACCTTAAATCTATAAGATGCATTAATTAACTTTTATGGGCATTGTGTTTACCATTTTTCATTTTCTTAAAGAATGAAATTAAAATCTAATTATACAAATACCAACATGCCCATCAAGTGGGCGTTGTGTTTACCAATTAACATTATTGATTTGATGCAACTATTGAGTCAAATTTTTTCCTATTTGACAGCTTGTGAAGAGAGTCTTTCTGACCAGCGAGCGTAAAATTTCAAGAAAGTTTGTTGAGGGACTATTATCTCTGATGGTAGAGAGGAGAATATCAAAATGGAAAATATTGTATTCATACTTGAAAAAGGTATAAGATCTTCACATTTATACTTTGTGTTGTAAATAACTTCTCATTTATTTACTATCAAGGTTGTGTGGTGATTTACGTTTATTAGGAATGATCTTTTTATCAATGCCAATCAACGATTATATATTATAATGTGTTGATCTTATAAAATCAAAGCAAGGGATTTTGTGTCCTGCAATGCATTTTTAGACAAACTCACAAGCACACCACTTGGTTTCAACCAATATTGTAAAGAACATGTTCTCTTCATTGCAGGTTTGCTTGGTTCATTGTTTTTTGGGTTAATGCTTATCCAGTTGTCATTTCAAGACGGATAGTTTTTTATTTTGTTGTGTTATTGTCTTAAAGTTTGCACGTTATATGGCATTTTAAAGGCCATAGCTTGTTCTCCCTCATTTCTTTTATCCAGGATAGTTTGATGACCATGTCGCAACATATTTGGTTGAATGTGTGTGGCTCCTAAAATTTTTGCCTGAATTTATTATATTTGAGTTATTCTAGTCAAATCAAACTAGACAAAACTCAAAGATTTTAATCTTTAGCAAGGACTTTATTGCTTGAAGATATTCTATGGACATGAACCTCTACGAATAATTACTACCCGCTTTTACGAGAGCACTCTCAATTTAGGCTAGTCGATAGACTTTATAATGATTTGTTTAAGTAGCAATAATTTAGTTTGCAAGAAGATATACTACTATTTACTTGGAGTGGATATCGGGAGAATGATAACAAGCCCAAAATCATTCAACCTAATTTAAAAAAACTAGAAATTTTAATTTAAATAATTATTTTTATTAGCTATTGCTATGTACTATTTTATGATTTGTCGAGCCATACAAAGATGCTTATGGTTATATGTTAAGCTAATGAAGGCTCATAAGCCTATTAAGTTAATGGAAGCTCATAAGACTGTAAATTAGATCCCATATTGCATTGTCTCAGCCACACTTTCAAGCTTTGCTAGTGAGTTGGCGGTGACCCAAAAAGCCTACATGATATATGTTAAGAGTATTTAACAAAAATTGATGATTTTTTAAACTTTTTGATATAATTAAGTTATATGAAATATGATTATATCTTTTATTAGCAAGATTCATTTTGTTTGCTTTTAGAACTATTACAAGTTGTTTGATATGATTTTCATACAAAATTGATAAAAATAGTCTAATCTAAGCATATTTCATATTTATGCTTTGATTTTCATGATTTTGTTTTCTAAGTTACGTGCTCATTTACCTTATTAGACCCACATAAATAATTAAACATTCTAATATATGCTTATGATCATCATCAATTTAATGAGTTCACATAGTCAAGGTTGTTGATATATAGATGCCATGTAACGAGTATGACATTCAATAGCTATCTTGTGTTTAATGTATAAGAATAATTACAATTTTAAAGATTATGTTAAATGAATATATGATTTTTTATAATTAAAAGAACATCAACTGCCAGACCAGTGATGATTCATCCCTAACATCATATTCATCAGAATGCAGTGTATTATCAGAGGGAGAATGTGTAATACATGTCTTTTTTGCCTCAATAATTTTACTAGGATAAGTATAAAATTTATGCTAGATAATTTTAGGATAAATGTAAATTATCCCTTATGTTTAGATAAGAATGGGCCATTTGAAGTAGCAATGATAAAATTTAAATAATATTTAGGTTTAAAATTTATTTTCTTAAATCCTTATAAAAGCATTAAAAAGAAGATAGGGTTAGATGGGCAGCTTGCATGCTTGAATTCTCGGGGTTTTTTTGGTATTTTTGTAAGCAAGGAGGGTTGAGATTCATGATGATGTGAAGTAGTGAGGGCGGCTTGCATGCTTGAATTCTCGTAGGTTTTTTGGTATGGTTGTTAGGCAAGAAGGGTTGAGATTCATGATGACGTGAAGTAGTAAGAGGGAGTGTTTGATACTTTCTTGAGTTAAATAAAAAATAAATTTAGTGGGCTATTTGAAAGGAAACAAAAAGGGAATAGCAATAAAAAGAGGGGGGGGGGGGGGTTGGGGGGGGCGAGGGGGTAAAAAAAACAAATTTTTAGGAAAAATTTAGGAAAAAGAGGAAAAAATCACTTAGCTTGCTTGTTTGTGACAGTGGTTTTTATATTTTATGTTCTTCGATCCTCACCTCTCTTGTGCGTGGTATGAGAGATTTGGTGTGATTTGTTATGCCCAAATTTGAGTAAGAGCATTTTCTTATGTCCCTTTTTGTTTGTACAAATTGCGTGTGTTCTCGATAGTGGATCGGTTCCTCTCTTCCCTCTCATGGATGTATACTATAGTTTCTATTTAACAAATAAATCTTAGAGTATTTTGTGCTGTTGTATCTCTATGTTATCACTTTGTCCATCCACTATATTTGGTCTTAGTATGTGCTACTGCATAAACTAAACTTTTTCTAATAGTCTTTTGAATTTGTTAAATATGTTAAAAAAAAGTTTGTTTATAATTTTTCTTTTAGCTTTACTAATTTGTGATGATTAAATTTTATTTATCATATAAAGTTTAGTGTCCCATCCTCAAACATTTTGAAGCATAAAAGCCAAAGTTTAATCAATTATAAGTTGAGATTGTCGGGCATTGAATTGTATGCCTATAATGAAGCAAAAACAATTAGACCCTAAAATATTATTAGAATACTCATTATGTACTAGTTTTATCACCTAAGTATTAGAATATTGTGGTAAATTTATATTTAGTCATTTTATAGTAGAATTAGTATTGAGTCTAATGTATTAGGGTGTAAATTAAATGGAGAATAAAGTTGAGCTGAATATATCTGATAAATCCTTCTTCAATCTAAAAGTTTAAATGGTTGAGGGCCAACCCCATTGTATCTCTACACCCACAAATTGTCCAACTATCCAATGTGGGAATAAATCAAATATTTTCACGTGCAATCACTATCTCTCACTCTGGCGAGAGATCGCTCCCCCTTGAGTATAAGTTTTTAAATGCCAACAGATATGATGTACTAAGATCCTGCTCAATCACATGGATTCACCATTGGAGTCACCTGCACTTGAGGTTTTCTTTATAGTGATAGAAGGTGATCTTGATCAGTGTAAGCCATAAGCTATACGAATTACTTGAGCTCATTCAAATAATCCTCTCCAATCAAAATTGCTGAGGACCAAGAAGGACCAAAATTTGGCCAAATGCACCGGTGTTCAATTCCATTTTCAACCCAAAACATTAAAACCTATTGTTGAGGAACAACAACATGATTATTTGAAACCAATATACTATGTCCAATACAATATGTAACAATAAAATATAGTTGTTGACTAGGTTTCCATCCTTCGTAGTAGGTTCACTTCATATCTATTTATGAGTTTGAAAGAGGGCGAATATTAGAGGAGAGAATAATTGCAGTATAAGATTTGATAAGTTTATATCTAAACATTTGATGCAAAATGACTCTTCAGCTATGGTCTTTGGTCAGATATTTTCAAATTATTGGCTATCCTATGCACTCATCTTTTTCCATAGATTAAGACATATGCCATGGAGAAGTAAATATATACCTGTAAAAAAAAAGGTCAGCACAAATCTTGAGGGAATCTGATGGTTCGATGGAAAATAAATAGTGATGGGTGGAAGAATCGACTGATTGGTTATTATCCGCCTGGACCATCTAAGAAACATGTCCGAGGGATTCTGAGCCAATCAGCGACCACTAACTTATTATTCCCCCCAAAACCCTAGTATCATCAGCCTGACTGATCGGCCTGACCTGAGTACATATCGATCAGTAGACTCCTACTCAGAAGGACCCATCGACGAGCATATTAATCTCATACATATAAATTACTAAAATATTCCTCATTATTATGATAAAACAAGGGCATAAATGTAATCCCACATATGTACTCTCTCTGTCTATAAATATGATATCATTTGTCGAAGAATGGTTAAGCATTCCTACTATTCATTACCGTGCTCTCTCTCTCTCTCTCTCTCTCTCTTTCCTGCAAGCTCTATTCCTTGAGAGCGTTTTCTGGACAATTTCAGCAACGCTCTATTCCTTGAGAGCGTTTTCTGGACAATTTCAGATTCAACATTCTGAGAGGTTTGGTGAGCTTGGAGTTTGCTCTCATCAGTTTTTTCCTGTCCCATGACCGATGGAGGAAGTTCAACCCCTCGTAGTGATCCGGGCGGTAGGGGGGTACCGGTCATCTCTTGGACTATCCCAACGGTTGTGGGGTCTACACTTTAGAAACAGGAGGGACGGGCGTCTTGATAGAAGATGGCGGCTCAACAACAGGGACCAAAAGTTCCGCATGAGGATCAATCGGCCATCCTTTGGATTTTTCTCGAATCCTCTCTTGTTGCCTGACAAGAGAATCAAAGGATCCCATATGGTCCCTCAGGTCAGACGTTTTCCTCCTCTTCACAACTCTTTTCTTACTTTTCTCCTCTATAAGCCTCTCTTTAGTTAGCCTCTTCTTCTCCTCCTCCTTCTAGACCTTAGCTCATGCCTTTAAGGGCCTTAAGAGGCGCCTCCCTATTGTGAGACCTTGCCCCAGGTGCTCGACCGTCAACCATCACAACAACTCTGAAGTGCAAAGGGGCAAACAAGGCGAACTCTGAGATGCAGAGAGCAAATGCGCTCGATCAGGATGGAGAATGAAGCATGCGCTGATCCAAAGGCTCCCGTGTCATATTTGTCTTAATCTTGAGCACAAAAATTTAAGTGAGTCAGTTATTGAACAATAATATCGTTATAAATTAAATCCTATTTTTTACATTTTTGCATTATGAAAGATTCACTTGTTTTTATCAGAACACATATTTCAAGAAGCAAGGAAATTGAGAAACTAACTTGAGGGAATCTGACAGTTTGATGGAGAAACAATAGTGAGAAGCTGAAAAATTAGCTGACTGGTTATTATCCCCCCGAACTAAGTCAAAGAAACCTGTTTGAGGGATGCCGGGCCAATCTGCGGCCACTACCTTCGGCTCTTTATTGTATCATTAGTTTGACCGGTCAGCGTGCCCAAAGAACAGACCGATTGGTAGACTCCTATTCGGAAGGACCCATCGACAAACATATTAATCTCATGCATATAAAATACTAAAATATCCCTCATTATCTTAATAAAAAGGGGCATAAATGTAATCTCACATCTGTACCCCCTATGTCTATAAATAGGGGATCTTTTATCGAATAAAGGTTATGCATTCCCATTGTTCATTACCGTGCTCTCTCTCCTTTTCTCTCTTTCCTGTAACGCTCCATTCCTTGGGTGTGTTTCCCGAACAATTCTTTCTTGTAATGCTCTATTCCTTGGATGTGTTTCCTGTACAATTTCGAATTCAACAATACCTATAACTCAGATCAAGGTTCCTGGATTTGGAAAAAATGTTTTTTAGATTACGAGTTAAAATCATTGCATTTCATTTTTTTTAGCCTTTATACCTTTTTAGTGGGAAAGAAAATCTTTTAAAAAAACTAACATGAAAAAGATGTTAAAGCTAGCAGTTTTGTCTTTATTCTTTAATTCCTTGCAGCAGCCGAGCACTACGTCTTATGCATCCAGTTTCCGAGTAAAGCTAGCAGTTTTTTTTTTTAATCAGGGGTTAAGCGGTCATATGATCATTTTGCAGATGTACTGGGGGAATGGAATATATGGTATTGAGTCAGCTTCTCAGTATTACTTTGGAAAGAGGCCTTCTTCTCTGTCTGTTGGGGAATCTGCAATGCTCGCTGGAATTCTGCCTGGCCCTGAATTGCTAAATCCACTGAAATACCCCAAAAAGTAAGTCAATTTTCTGCTTGAATATGTTTTGTATTTTCTTCCTTGTTAAAAGTTTACGATTGTCAATTTCTTTTGCTTTTGTGTGATACGTAATTTTGTTTTCCTTTAGCTTCTCTTTGTTTATTTTTACTCCAATATAATTAGAAATTTTACATTTTTCAAGATCCAAGTCGTCCCAGGTCAAAGTATTACGGAGGATGGTTTCAGCTGGATATCTTGAGATGGATAAAGCCCTCCAGATTGCAAGGGAACCTTTCTACTTGTGTTCTGAAAATAAGGTCGTAAGTTCCATTGTTTAGCGAATAATATATTTGAATCAAACTATTTTCTCCTTTGTTATTAAATCTGTTTCCTTTAGTAGAACGTCTTATCAGTGTTTTATGCTTTTCATGACTTGACATGTTTTTTGATAACTTTCATTCAGAACCACAGCACTAAATGCTAGGGAAATAAGATGAAAAACCAAGGGGAAATGCTCCAGTACGTCCTATCCTTCAAAATATATGCTTTAGAAAATTCAAAAATTCCTTTTCCTTCATTTACCATGTTGTGCGGCTTTTTCCTCAACTATTCCAATCTATTTAATTAATTAAACACCAATTTAAAGACATTTAATTACTATAATGATCAAACTCTACAATACATATTAACCTCTCAAGATTATTAGAATAAAATCAACAATGAAGTCCCATTTAAATCATATATTATGTATTTTTAAATTATTCAACTATTATTGAAATTTTGTATGTTCCTCTCCATCATAATTCATCTCTTCTAAAATTTACTCTCCTATCCGTAATAATACTTTGCTTGTTTTGTGCGTGCAAGCTTTTCCTCGCACTTTTATCGGGCAAATTATTCATTTTTATTTATTAAATTGAGCTAGTAGCACTCATATTTATGTATGATCAAACTTCTCAAATATATTTTCAAGACTAATGCATATTCTCCTTTAAATTCCACGCATACATTTACTAATTACAATTTGTTATTTATATTGTTTATGTATTTTATGTAGAGAGATTTTGTGGTAGCGCTGAAATTTATTGTAACCCTATTGGGCTTTTTAAAGTTTTAAAATTTTAAAGGTTAATAAAATTAATGCTATTAAGGGACGATATTTCAAGCTATTCTTCATCGTAATACCATGAATGGTAATTTTCCCCCTTAATATATGCTTAGATTTTTATCAATTTTATTTTTATTTGATAGGCTAGACATTATATCTTGTATGCAAAAAAAGCATGTAACAACTACCCAAAACCACATAAAATTCACTGATAGTGATGTGATATGAAGAGAAAGTCATATAATATAAATGATTGGATAGTTGGACTTTTGAAAGCAGCTGAGAGAAAGCTATTGTCGACAGGAATACCACTAATTGTATCTGATTTTTGAAATGGAGCTCTATTTGAAAAAAAAAATGATTTCCTGACAAATCTTTTATATAAAGGGAAAATATCATTTGATATTTTTGTGAAATTGTATAATATATACATGTAATATAAATCTTAAATTTAAGAAGGACAACACAAACAATCTACTTAGAATTTGAATATATAAATATTTAATGTAAAGAGAGTAATATTTAATGTAGATGTTTATTTTGGCCATTGCCATTTTCCAATAATTAGATTGTTTTTTTATTATCTAAAATAAATTATCTTATTAGATTATAGTGGCTATTCTTTTGCCATTATTACTTATTATTTCATTTAATTCTTTGATTATGTTTTTCATTTTGTGCTTTATTTGTTTTAATACTTATTATTTCATTTAATTCCTTGATTATGTTTTTCATTTTGTGCTTTATTTGTTTTTCCTTTTGTTCTCTATTCTTTTTTATTTTCTTTCCTATTTATTTTATTTTACATTTATTATTTTCCACTATTATGCTTATTGCAATTGGTTTAAATACCCATTCTATCAATGAAATTATTATGATATATTCCAAATCTTAATATGGTATCAGAGCCAACTCTAAATCTAGGGTTAGTGGCCTCCTTTTCCTAACAGCTTGGACCTACAGGGAGTCTAGCCTCCACCTATTCCTCCTTTGAGTTGCTTCTGCCGCTGAAGTAAATCGGCAAGCCTTCCCCTAGTTGATTTGCTTCATCCACCGTGGTATCGGCCTTTCCGTGGTATTAGTGGGTCCTTTACTTCTACCACTGATTTACTTCTTGTGGTATCAACATTCTCGTGGAAAGGTCCCAACTTTCTCTATTGCTGATTTGCAGGAAGGGTTCCTGCTACCTGCAATTCCAGCTATTCTATCTGATCCTTGTGAATCTACCAAAATTCATCAATGGCTCGCAATAACATATCATTTGGCTCAGTCGGAATTATGATAATTCTTTCAATGAATCACACTCAAGAGGTGTTCTTGACTCCATTAGAGGATCGACTCCAAACCCTACTCCTTTGGAGATCGAAGGACCGAAAGCCAAGATGAGTTTCTTGATCAAACTTATAAATTAAACGACAACTTCCTCTAGTGGTCCCAAGCAATCTCTTTATTAATCAATGGACGTGGGAAATTTTTTCACTTTTCAGGTATGATTCGTGAGCCTTCAAAGACTGACCCGACATATGGAGCTTGGGAAGTGGAAAACTTCATGGGGATATCATGGTTGATCAACTCCATGGAAATATCTATTGGTCGTTCGTGCATGTTCATCTCTTCAGATAGTACTCTCTGGATGGCTGTTCGTGATACATAATCGGTATCTAAAATTTTTTATGCTGGAGCCTGGTTCGGTCCTCCCAATCTTGCTCCCGATTTCTCCCTCTACAGACTCCCGCTTCCGCTTATGCCCGGTCACGAATAGTCGCGGCCTGGCGTCGATTCGCGAACAAAGAAACTGCTCCCGCTCTTGTGCCTCTCTTAGTCGCGATAAAAGGGGAGCTTCGTCTCTCTTGTCTGTGTGAAGCCCAGGCGACTGAAACGTGAGAGAGCAAGTTTGAAGAGGCTTGGAAGATCGCTGCTTCTGATTTAACACGACCTTTTTTTGTTCTTCTTCAGGCTTCCTCGGGATAGAGGAATAAAAGTGCAAGCAGTGGTTCCTTGCAACAGAAGAAAGAAGAAATAAGAAGAAGATTGTTCTCCCTTGGCTTCTTTTTGGTGGCTTGTGGCAGAAGAAAAATTGAGTTTATTTCTCTTGTAAGTTTATCTTCTTCAGTGTAGCTCGGTGTAAAGCTTTTTCGGTGTATCTCGATGCAGAGAGAGAAGAACAAAGAGAGAGAAGGGAAAACAACGAAGTGAGAGATTTCTCTTGTAAGCCGAGACGATCGAGTGGTGTAAATTTCTCAAGTAGTAAAACCCTCTGCAAACTCCGTGGATGTAGGCAATTTGCCGAACCACGTAAATTTGTGTTCCGCTGTGTTACTGTTTTCTGGTGTGAATTTTCTCATGCTGTTTTTCGCTTCGTCAAAGATCGTTCTCCTATTTTATTTATATATACCACAACAACTGGTAGCAGAGGCCGTGTTTCGGATATGAAGAAGAATGATGATTGCATATAAAGTGAAGGTTTCAGGGATCGAGGAGTTTGATGGCGTAGATTTTGATTATTGGAGGATGCAGATAAAAGACTACCTCTATGGAATTATTGGAGGATGCAGATAAAAGATTACCTCTATGGAAAAAAAATTCATCTTTCGTTATTGGGGAAAAGACCTGAAAGGATGAATGAAACTGAATGAAATTTGTTGGATCGACAAGTTCCGGGGGTTATTTGATTGACTCTATCGAGGTTCGTTACACACAACTTCGTGAAGGAGATGACTGTACATCTCATGACACTCTTATCAGATATGTATGAAAAGCAATCGACGAATAATAATGTGTACTTGATAAAAAAATTATTAATCTTGAAGATGGCGGAATGTGTTTCTGTTGCTCAACACCTAAATGATTTTAATACCATCACAAATCAATTGTCATCTGTTGAAATTGATTTTGATGATGAGTTACATGCACTGGTATTGTTGGCATCATTGCCAAATAGTTGAGAAAACATGAAGATGACAATTAGTAGTTCTGTAAGTAAATGTAAACTGAAATTTGATGATATTTGTGATTTGATTTTGGCTGAGGAGGTGCGCAGAAAAAATTCTGGCGAGATCTCATGTATGAGTTTGATACTGAATGTTAATTTTAGAGGGAAATGACAGGACAAGAACTCAAATAGAGGGAGATCAAAATCAAAGTCTGGTCAGCAGACAACCTGCTAGAACTGGTAAGCAGACAACCTGCTAGAATTGCGGCAACGCTAACCACATAAAGAGAAACTGCAGAAATCCCAAGAAGATAAAGAATGATAGCACAAATGTGATATCTCAAGAAGTACATGATGCACTTTTACTGACAGTTTATAGTTCTGTTGATAATGAAAGTGAAGATGAGAGTGAGTCTGAGACACTCATTCCTATTGTTCAACAGACAAATGGTGGTGAATCACAGTGAACCACAGAGGTATGAAAAAATCTTGTAAGATGAAAATTCGAACAAGTGAGAGCAATGGTGGTGAATCACAGAGGTATGAAGAAATCTTGTAAGATGAAAATTCGAACAAGTGAGAGCTGACATAACTTCAACCAGGGAAGAAAACATTACACAACAAATGAGTGTACCAAGTGAAGACTGAGTTTGGTGACAGTAAGAGGTATAGCAGTAAGAGGTATAAGACTAGACTTGTTGGAAAAGTCTTTCAGCAGAGACATGGTATTACCCATGTAGTGGGAGTTATAAGTAGAGATAAGAGTAACTCAGAAAATATTTTGGAGGTGCAAAACTATGTGAACCTTGATGATATGTTGACTAAAGATGTTACTTTTGATAAACTGAAGTTGTGAACAGCTTCAATGGTCTTCTGGTGTGAAGACAGAGACTTTGGGTTGCAGAGATGGAGGATACATGTTTAAAGAAAAAGACGACATCGCCAGTGGAGGATCATTTTAAGGAAGGAGATGTTGTTGCCTGTGTATCGGCCTCCAAGTGAGAGATTTGTTATAGTGGAGCACGGTTCGGTCCGACCAATTCGCCTCTCGCTCCCGCTCCCGCCTACACCTGATCGCGAATAGTCGTGTCTCCCGCCTGGCGTCGATTCGCGAATAGAGAAATTGCTCCCGCTCTCTCGCCTCTCTCGCCTCTCATGTCTGTGTGAAGCCTAGGTGACTGAACGTGAGAGAGCAAGTTTGACGAGGCTTGGAAGATCGCCTCTTCTGATTTAACACTGCCTTTTTTGTGTTATTCTTCGGGCTTCCTCAGGATAGAGGAAGAGAAGTGCGAACAGTAGTTTCTTGCAGTAGAAAGAAGAAAAGAGAAGAAGAAGATTGTTCTCCCTTGGCTTCTTTTTGGTAGCTTATGGCAGAAGAGGAATTAAGTTTATTTCTCTTGTAAGTTTATTTTTTTCGGTGTATCTCGGTGTAGAGCTTATTCAGTGTATCTCCGTGTAGAGAGAAGAATAGGGAGAAAG